TACAACTCCCCCCCCCCCCCCCTGAGAGACAGTCAACGATTGGGGGGATCAACGGCCAGCGGAGGCTCGCATCAGCTAGATGCCCGCGGTCGAAATGAGAGCCCGGCGTAGCAGCCGTGGCCCACCACCTTCTCATCACAACGCCTCAGCCAACACGGACGCGTACGAAAAACATGATGTTTTCGCGTGGAATCACAGACTCACACCATACACCAAAACCACAAGCTTGCCTGCGTGAATCCCCCGTCTTCGAGGGAGCCGAGCAGCCGCAAAGACCCGTCCCGGCACGCCACCACCGTACAGCGCCCATCGCTGTCCATGGCCACCACCTCTGAGTCAAGCCTGCAGTCAACAGTTAGGGGATAGGTCAATTCAAGGCACACACGGTTAGACGGGAAGACAGACACCACAAGATCAAACTCCAACGAGTACTGCACACGCTCGTCGAAAATATGGGAACGTCGCAGAGACACAGCGACGTCTTGTGCCCCTTCTGCGAGGTTCTTCGGCGCAGCGCAACTCGCGAGAACTTGTCACGACATTCACACTGCGGTGACATGTCTCACGACGTTTCGGCAAGACTCCTGGTGAACGTGAGAGTGTGCATCAGGCGGTGAGCGTGTCGTAAAGATCCCTAGTTTTCTTTTTTCTTGCGAGAGACCCGTCAACAAAAAGTTGGAATGTGCCGAGGCCAAATCGGTCGGCAAGCGAGCCGAACCGTACCCGTTCTTCTTCCATCGACCGAAAGAAGAAGAAAAAAGAAAGAAGCCCATCTTCCCCGAGTGGTGACAACGAGGGTCACGCCTACAATCACGATACACGCGCGAAAATCAGAAATGTTGTCTACGGCCGAGAAGCAAGGGGACCAGAAAGCGACGTCACACCAATCACAAGCAACATCAGATGCACGCATATCAGCAGAAGCTGAAAGACCGACAACACTTGAAACATGACAACGGAACACACATATGATAAATACCTTAGGGAGCCCAGGGGTACACCGACCGGAGACACGCGCCAGATCTCGCCGACAGCTGACGCCAACACCAAACACGCCGTCCCGCCGCCTGGGATTGAATGTGTACCGTCCCCGGTCTCAGCCCATCGTATTGAAACGATCGGGCTCTGGTCGGCACAGCCGCTAAACCTGTTTTGTTCGCGACGAAAAGAGATGCCAACAGATCAAATCCGTTTGTTTGATATTGTCACAAGGGACGCTCGTTGTTGTACACTGTCACAACAAACGGTCGTCATGGCCATCGTCGCTGTACGCGGTTGTTGTCGCTACTGCAATGTTGTGGCACCAGTCATTTCATTTGGTATCATCTGAACAAGGTAGAGGGGAGCTTGACCCACCAACCCATGCCTCCTCCCATAACAATCACATCTCGAATGGGTAGTCTTCCGGTGTTTGTATTTTCGTTTCCTGATAAACAAAAAGAGAGGTAAAAAATAACAACTTACGCGGCTGATAGGGCGCCGGTGGCGATGTCCCAGACCGCAACCATTCCGTCCTCCCCGCCTGCGGCGAGAGCCTTCCCGGCCCCGTCGATGCAGAGCGCCTGCGCGGGGGTTTCCAGGTCGAAGAGCTCGAGCACGGGGACGGGGTTCATCTCGACGGAACCGATCTCCCATACCTTGGTTTGTTAAACACATGTACAGAGATGGGGGGGGGGAGGCGGGAGGGGGAGAGACAGAGGGTCAGAGAAACAAGAAAGCGAAAAGTGGTACTCGCCGGAGAAGAGCCCGAGAGCATGCTTTGGAAATATTCGAATATCAAAGTGGAGAACAGACTGACGTCGGAGGCCAAGTAAGGGGTGGCATTCGGCAGGGTCCATCCACCAACCCGTCATCGATGTATCCAACAACAGGAAAGAAAGTGAGAGAGAGAGAGACGGAGAGACACAGAGAAGGTGTGTAGTGACGTGCCAGAGGTCTAGAAAACGCTGCATGAAAGGCGGTGAACAAACTACAACAAGGCGTGGGTACGCAAACTTCACGTCTGCTCTGTCTGAACGATTGGCGGAGGGTTACGGCACCATGGGTGTTCAACATGAGAAACCGTGTGGGCGAAGCGAGTAAGTCACGGAGTCGCCCAGTAGTTCATTGTCTAGTACTAATAGACCTACGCTTTTTCGGATTAATTGCACGGCCCTACAGATGTATAGGAGTAGCGCTACTGCAACGACGTCCGTGCACCACATCCAAAAACAGCTTGGCCCTGTCGATACTTACTCCAAG